AAAAATTTTTAATTTTATTAAATATAAAGTTTTCCTAAATATTTTTATTATTAAAAGTTAGTTTATTAAGCTACTTATATCATATTAATTATGTTTGTTTATTTTTTTATACTTAAAAAATTACTATATTTTTATTAAAAATAAGTTAATTGTATATCATTAATATTGTATTGTTTTGTGAAAAATTAAATAGTTTTTTCATTTTTAAATCATTAAAGCAATTTGTTTTAAATCTAAAACCTTTTTCCATCATTTACATCAACATACACACCAATTTTGTTAAATATTATTCTTATTGTTTTATGCCATAAACTGAGTTACTAATGTTGAACATTTAAAAAATTTGTGATTTACTAATTTATTGTTTCTTTAATATTTATATTGTTTATAAACATACATTAATATTTCAATATTATCAATTAAAAAAGATATTAATTAATTCATAAAATAGAAATTATTAAACTATTCACTATAATTTTTATTTTTTAAATTATAGTCATGATGTGACATGATTTTACGTAATTTAAATTTTTAGTTCTTACTTATATTAATAGTTATGTATTTATCAATAACATCAGGTATTACAACATTGTTAAACTTGTTTATTTCAACCAAAGTAAAGGATCAATAAACATATTATCTAATTTAGATGTTTATATTTTTTTATAAAAATTTATCACTGTTTTTAGTTTTAGCAATACACGTATTTTACTTATCATTAAAAAAATTAATATCAAGTTAGTGTTTTCTAAAAAGATCAAAAAACTTGATATGTTTATAAACTCTAATAGTGAAGAATTTAATAATGAATAATGAGATAGGTTTAGAGTCAATTCAATCTTTTTATGATATTAAAAAGACTAAGTTTTTCCAATAAATAGACTTTCAATAATTGCTCGATTGATTCTTTCAGCTATTAAATTACATTGTTGGTAATATATTGAATTGAATAAATTTCTTAACATTATATTTTATACAAAGATATTTATAAGCTGTTCAACAAATTGGTTACTTTGATTAGTAGATAATGCTTTAGGAACATTATAATTGCAAAATATACTTTCAATTACAAAGGCCACATTATCAGAGGTAATTTTCTCTAAAGCATGTAAATAAACTAAAGTTCTACTCACATCAATAGTAAAAAATATAATTTACCCTAAACCTTTCGTAAAGCCCCCTAAATCATAGTAAAATGCTAAATAAAGATAATCATATCATTAAAAATTTCTTGATTTAGATAATTAAACAAACAATGATTTTAAAATAATTTTTAAAAGTCTAACAATTAACACAACTATTATTAAAATTCTCTATTAATCTTTTTAAATGGTCTATAAAATAAAAATTTTTTATAGTTTTAGATTCCTTGTTGCATCAATAATTCCTAACCTTAGTGATGACCTATTTTATAGACTCTTTTAGAATAAAAACATATTTATCATTGGTAACTATAATAAAATCTTTTAAAAAATTTAAGTTCCAAGACTTTTAATTATTATTTCTTCAAAACTAAGACTATTCTTCAATCAGTGACTTCTTCAATGAAATTAAACTATTTAGAAAATCACTAAGTGTATATATTGTTTTAACAAAAGGTTCATCTACAACAAACCTAGAGATGTTATCGGTAACCACATTTTTATTACCATTTATATGTATGAAGGAAATGTAATATTTAAAGAATGAAATTTTCCAATGAGAAACATTGATTAGATGAAGAATCACGGAAGGTTAAATTTTTAAAACTTTTAACGATGGTTGGCAGTTATTTTTCAACTGTAATATAGTTGTGTTTTAAAAAATGACTCATTGTATTTTTAAATAAAAATATTAAGAAATTATATTTTTTTTAATATTTTTATACCATTATTTTACTTTTTTTAAACAGTGTTTTTAAATTTTTAAATTAAAAGTATAATTTATTTAGTGTTTTTTTTACATTAAATTTACTTCATATGTTTAAAAGTAAAATAATTATATAAATTTTATCTAAGATTTAAATATATTTTTTTATTTAAAAAATATAATAGCTCATTTTTTAAAAAACCACTATAAACTAATATTAACTATAAATTACCACTAGAAAAGAAATAGTTTTTATTTTATTAAAGTTATTTTGAGAAATAACAGAAACTTTTTAACACTAAAAAAACTAAATATAAACAAGTTTGTCTTATTTGTTTATAAAAAATACAAGTAATTAAGAATTTTAATAAACAAATGATGAAACAAAAACATATTTAATGATAATATGATATGAACTAGAATTAAATTCATTTTTAACATAAATTAATACATTAACACATTAGATTTATTAATAAAAAAATTGTATATAAAATTTAACTAATCGAATAAAAATTTTATAGAAAAAAAATATTATAAAATTTTGATTAATTATTTAAAATTTTTTAAAAAATTTTTACATATCAAATGATGTCATTTATATTAAAAATAATTTACTTTAAAATATAATTTACATATTTTTAAAGAAAAAGATTATTAATATTTATTACAAATAAATTTATAAAAAGTAACATTATCAAATATTTATTATAAATCACATATATTTAGCTTTTAAGTGCTTAATTTATCTTTAACGGAATATTAACTTTAAAATATTTAAACAAAAAAA